TACGCAGTACAATCCCGATATGCACAGATTGCGCAAGTAATATTACCATAGAGACTCGTAACTATACAAAACACACCTCAGCATGGCGGCCATCGGTGACTTTGTCTATCCTCAAAGTGGTGATCTCATAATCAATCATACACTTTGTATGTACCGTTAGTGTGCCGTGTTGCAAGCCTGTTGGTATATACCTATACCCATACTTGGTAAACACACTGACCATCTCTTCAGGTGTAGCTGTAGTGGCCAGATCTACATCTTTGGGTGTTACACCCATAAATAAATCACGTACTACACCCCCTACAAATCGCAGCTCATAGCCTTCGTCTGTAAAGTGTTTATGCAACGATAGCACTGAGGGTGTTAAGAGACTGTTGAACAGTTTGATGTCTAATTCCGGATGCATGGCGGGAGGCCTTGTTGTGTATACTGATCTTTGAGTTGTGTGCTTAATTTGAACTGTGTTTATTGAACTTGAAGTGCGATATATACGTATCTTTCTACTAGTTCCTAGGTGTAGGTGTTTTATAAGTGCTAAATTACTAATCCGAGGTTGTATAAGTGTGTTATAAGACCTACGCTTATCACTATATGTCAACACGTGTGTATATGCCGAGTATGGCGCTCGAAAGAGTTTAAATGACTTGATCCCTTCGTGTAGCCTGCACGAATTGGATACTGTTGGGGCTCTATTCCACATGGGTGTGTATATGAAACAGCTTTGGGCCGGTGCTACGCGTGTACTCACAAAACAACGACAAGTGGATTGAGTGTATGTGTGTGCAGTACAACAAAGACTGCAATGTGTAGAATGAATTTACATCTATGCAGCGTAATTATGAAGCAACACTGTCAATGGTGTAGTGTTTGTTTATACAGTAGAACAATACTTTCGTGTGACTCGGGTCAACTCTGGTATATTGCAATATGTTTTTGTTATTTGCAATGGTGTTCTGTATTAGCTTGGCTCATACGCGACTTCACGCGTGATGCATCTTGATGTTTGCCGTGGAACAAAGTTTAATCTGGCCACTTGTTGCCTCAAGACCCAACACCTCTTATCAATACGTTTTATATCAATACGTATATATTTACTTCGAATATATACGACTACTAGTTTTATCGTCTTGGCCCTATTGTTATCGTGATGGGTGCAGACTATGAGCCCTAAGGTGCAATATCTTTTGTTTAAATCGCGAACAAAGTCTTATATTTTTGTTCGTTTGACTCATATAAACGTTTATAAAGGTTATAATTCGAATTCACGATTGAGGTAGCCTCCGTACAAATCTGTGATATAAAATCGGAGCACCACTGTCCACTCACAGTGTCCAGTCGTCTACCGGGCGCTGAAAACAAAGTTGGAATTCGATATATTTGTATCGTCCTAAAATAAGTTTTGATGTTTTATATACGTCGGAACACACAAAAAAAGAAATGTTAGAAACATATTGTTTTCAAAAAAGAGACAAAATAGTACCTGCATACGAAACTATTTCGGCTTGTTAAAAACACGCTATATAAAATTTGGAGAAAAAGGCATAAAAAAAAATTCTAAAAATTCCAAAATCCTTGTGCACCTGGATGCGGGAGGCCTGGACTCCCTGGACTCTGGAGTCAATTCAAATCGATAGTCGTATGGCCAACTGATCAAACCAAACGATATATTAAAATCGTCGGATATACAAAATAAACAGACTCACACTTTACACATAGTCACGTCTAATCCGCACATATACATATAAAACACATATACACAGTATATGCTCAAGAGTTAAATAGCTAGTAAGCCTTGGAAGACGCAGAGACAGTTGCTACACAACTCAATACAGCCATGGACTACGATGACGAAGATGCAATGGTCGGTGCTGGGGTAAGTATCAAACGCCACTGGAGCCTTAAAACTATGATTGCTATAAATTAGCATACCAACATACTATTTAGCTACTGGTTGATACAGATTCATATACCATTTAGTTTATTGTTGCATGATGAAATGGTGGACAAATTATGTAAAGACTATGACAAAGGTAGTGACCTTCAAACATAAACTGAAGAACTTTGCTGAACTTTTGAGGTCGGGATGGAGATCAATCCTCTTGCTGTAAGATTCATCGGTACGAAGTTCAAAAACTTGACAAGTGGTGCAACATGTGACAGTTCCATTCGTGAAGTGGCTGTGATTAGCATTCCTGGCAAGACACTATTTGTATACATATTTACTATAGCGGTTCAGCGATTTCCTCGTATCACATTTTTTATATCGTCGCAGATCAGAATAATACAGACACAGTCCTTTCACATATACTTGGGCAGTGTTATTATTATATATATACATATATATATATATAATCAAAGATCTCTTGGTTATATATATGTA